GTATACGCTTAAGGATAAGTCTTTCACTATATATGAATTATTTTGCCGGCATAAACTATTCGGTGAAAGTGACTGAAACCATAAATATTTTCGAGTACATTAACACATTATAATTCAACATGATCTACGCTCTCTTAATTTTTGCATCATTTTTCATATTCCGTTATTATCGTGAAATCATAACAAATTTTCATGTTAGCTTCGATTATAAAAATGTGTGATAAATATCGTAGTTTAATCGAAGAGTTTTGACATTCAGAGGGATGAAAATTCGTACTCTTCAGCAAACACTTTCAGGAAGTTAAAATGCCTGTCCAACCATAATGTCCCGTTTCATTAATACAATGTTTTTGCAGCTGCAAAATTAATTACCATTGGTTTTTATGCTTTTATTGACGCAGGTGCGAGTACAATGCTTCCATTATTTACGTACTAATCCTCAAAATGGCAGAGTGGATAGTTTTATAAATAGTAAAGAGGATGTTTTGGAACCAGATAGGCAAGTACAAATATTGACAAAACGTTTAGCTGAAATGGATGAAGCGTTTAGTGCGACCTTACATGCGCGGAAAACTAGGGTAATCACATATATATTTACGTATATCCTCCCAATACAAATTTTTTTTTATTCTTTAGTACATATTTGAAGGTTTGGCTCATTTAGCAGCCCGCATACTTATACAAGCTTCCAATTATTTGGAGAACATTGATCAAGTTACTGTACAACGAATGTGTCGTAATGCACTGTCTCTACAACAAACTCTAAGTAACATAACGGGCTCCAGAGAAGTGGCTTTAGATCAAGCAAAACAATTCTACGAATTATTATGCATGGAACCGGATGTAAATGAAAGCAAGGATGTTGGTTTGAATTTCTAAAGTAATTTTTTACAATTTTTGTTTTTAGATAATAATTACTACCATTGTCGAGCAAGGTTCCCAATTCACTGAAATGCAATATTTAAATGCCTTACAATTATCATGCAAAGCACGAGGTATTACTGACTCTAATACACTGGCTAACTATCAACAGAGATTATCAGATATTTTGGGAGCCAAACCTTCCGCTGGTGTTGTCGTATAATAAACGTGTTGTTCTAATTTAAAGTATTGCATATATACAAACATACCTACGTAGAAAAGTATTTATCTCTGTTGTTTCAAAAATTCCAGTTTTATTTATAGCAACTTGCTTTTATTTAAGAATAACAATAATTAATTTTTCAATAATGTTAAATTGAATCCAGCATTAAGTTTCTCGTTCAACTGAGCGCAAAAGGAAAATAATAAATAGATTAGAAATTTGTACACAAATGTAGTGTGCACTTACTTACTTATGAGCAAAGTTATGAACATTTTTCGTAAAGAGTAGACAATGTGCAGTAATTTTATAAGATGTAATAAAAACACAAATTCATTTTATTGGCTTACAAGAGAAAACATTTAATAAGCCCCAGGAAGGCGGCAATAAATAGTTTGAAAATAAAATAACGTAAATACGAATACACACATAAATACGAATGGACACACATGCAACAACAAACATATACGAACATGCACCTCTAAAATGGCATACAAAAGAAATTTTTTGATGCACAGCGCATTTAATTTGTGATTTGATGTGCGTTTAAGTAGAATTAAAATAAAAGGTAGGAAACACAAAATTTTTTCAAAAATGTCATTACATTAATAATCATAACGATAATCATGTGAATGTGAAGAAAATACAACATTGCGTGTATTTATTAAATCATTCAGCCATTCTCCACGGAAAAAATAAACAGGAGTAAAATTAAGAAGACATTAAAAAAAACAATTCAAAATGCAGAGAAAAAATGCTTTATTCGTTACAAAACAAGAAAGAAGCTGTATACGACTTAATGGCATAGTTGGAGAATTTTGATATAGCTGGTAAGTTAATAGACAGTTGGCTGCAGGGTTTTACGCACAGTGTATCCATATTTTTGCAGGTTGTACGGATCTATACAGCATCCAGAAGGATTTGAGATAGGCCCATCTTTTATTGTACCAATCGATTGACAACGGTCTTCTGTACTTCGGACTTTTGAGATATTTTGATAAAATTTGATACGCAGACGCGGCTTGGCCCAGGGACGAACTCTGTTGAAAGTGATTCGGAACGAAACATTCTTCCGACCACTTTTTAGAAACGTTCTTACTTGAAAAAGCATTGTTATTTACAAGATTTCGTGACACAAATAGCCGAGCAATAGTATGTCCGCGTTCAAAATTAATGTGAAATGAACAATCTGGTACGTATGAGGCGCATCGCCTTCACGTTCGCCTTTTGTAACTTTAACATTCTATCATTCATTCATTCATTTCTTCCTATATTCAATTTTTCATTCATTATTCACTCCCTCACTCATTTCTTTATTTATTTATTCGCGCATTCATTATATTAATTTAAAAAAGAAAATTAGTTTCAATGAAAAGACATATACATATTTTTTATGTATATTTGTCGCTAAAGTACTTGCAAAATTTTTGTATATTAATGCTAATAATGTATTAAAAAAATATTCGAAAAGTGGCTCTGCGCTCGACTATGTCGCTTACTCGGTGGCGAGGCATAGTTTTAACTCCCTCAACCATCATTATTACTGCAGATACCTTCAGTTCATTAAATCCTCTCTGTTTGCTAATCCTAAATACTTTTTTAAATATTTTAACTCTAAAAGAAAAATTTCCACATATCCCTCTCATGTTTCTTTTAATGGCTCTGATTCCTCGGATGATTTTGAAATCTCAAATCTATTTGCTGAGTATTTCCGACGTAACTTTTCGATTGCTAATCTCGATTTATCAGTAAACTACCCATATCCTATAACTAACTCGGTTTCAATACCTAACTTGGTTATTTCGGAAGATGACGTTTTTAAAGGGTTGAGTTACTAAAATACAGTTATTAGCCTGGACCTGATGGAATTCCATCATGTGTACTTAAATCTTGCGCTGTCGAGTTATGTGGTGTGATCTCAAAGATTTTTAACATGTCCTTGTATTTAGGTGTTTTCCGTTCATGTTGGAAGAGTAGAGTCCTAATTCCTATCCACAAGAGTGGAAGTAGACAATTTGTTGAGAACTACAGAGGCATAGCCAAGTTGAGTGTCTTGCCCAAGTTGTTCGATCGTATTGTGACTCAGTATTTGGTCTCCGCCATTAATTCGTATATTTCTCCGCACCAGCACGGCTTTCGGAAAGGGCGATCTACAGTCACCAACTTGTTAGAGTTAACTGTCATGTTTTCAAGACTTTTTCTAGTGGCTCTCGCACAGATGTTATTTACACTGATTTAAGCAAAGCATTTGATATAGTTAACCATAGACTACTTATCTTTAAGCTGCAAGCCTCTGGTTTCCCACCCTACTTAGTGAAATGGATAAGCTCTTATCTGCACAATAGATCCTTCAGGGTTTTTATTTAACTTCATTACCTCGGATGAACTCCCCGTTACGTCTGGCGTACCTCAAGGAAATCACTTAGGTCCCATTTTATTTAGTTTATCATTAACGATCTCCCATCGGTGGTTAATTCCAGCCAGATCTTAATGTATGCTGATGTGAAACTGTTTTCTTCCTTCTCTGTTGAATCGCAATCACATCAGCTTCAAGGTGATTTGGATAATTTTGTTGCATGGTGCTCTTTGAATCTGCTGAAACTAAATCTGAGTAAATGTAAGAAGCTTTCATTCTTAAGAAGAAAGTCATTCATTACTCAGTATCTCATAGATTCGCATAATTTGGAGGATGTCGATGCGATCACAGATTTAGGCGTTTTATTTGACCATAGGTTACGTTTTAACTTGCATATTGAGCTCTCGATTAGCAAAGCTAGGTCCGCGCTTGGTTTTATAAAAAGGTGGTCCAAAGAGCTTGATGATCACTACATTACGAAAAGGCTGTACATGTGTTTGGTTACCCGACTATGCCTCAGTTGTGTGGTCTCCTTCATATAGGTGCTACGTAGATTCAACTGAATCAGTTCAAAAGCAATTCTTGCTGTTTGCCCTTAGAAATTTGGGTTGGGATCCGTCTCTTGAGAAACGTAGATTTGTTCTTGGCGTTTCCTTTATAATTAAAGTAATAAATGGTGCCATTGACTCGCCTTCATTATTTGGTGAAATAAGCTTTAATGTCCCTAACCGCTTCTCCAGGCACTTTATCTTGGTTAAGCTTAGTCAGTGTAAGTTTAATTATGAGCTGTTCAATCCGCTCAGAGTCGTTTGCAAGAACCTAAATGACGTCTACCACTTATTCTCATTAACGGACGCTTTAAAGTCCATTAAAGCAACATTGCTTAATACGCGCGATTTACCTATGTCGTATTTAAATTAGCTTTTATCCTAAAAAATCGGTACGTTTCGAAAATGAATTATTGACAATTTATTATCGGTTGCCAGGCTTATGCATGTTTGCGATGGTTTAGGGGTTTATTTGCAATTTGGACCTGTACCGGTTGTAAGTGTGTCCCATGTTGATAGTGTACATGCTTTTTTTTCATTTTTTTTTCTTCTTATTTGTTTTATTATACTTATACTAGATTTTATTATCAATTAATATAAGTTTTGCATTAAAAGCCAATTGAACTCGACTGTTATTTGTTTAGTTGAGTTTCTAGTATAAGTAGAATAAATAAATAAAAAATCTCTGAAAAACACAAATATTACACATCTCATAAATAAAGTGTATTCCTACTCAACTAAGCTAATGCCGCTGACCGACTTTGATTTGTTCACAAAATGACCAGAGTTGGTTTCAATAAATTGCAACGCTTTGATTCTAATATGTGAGGGAGAATAAAATAAAGTATTTGAGCAGGAGAGAAATCAAGCTGCCATTTCTGTTAATTTAATAAATCGATTAGGCTCTACATCCCATAATCTCCGGAGGCATCTATATGGCTCCTCAAATAATGCGTTGTCAAAAATTCAATAACAAATGTGATATATGGTCTCTTGGTTGTCTATTATATGAAATATGTGCAAATTATTGAACGCCTATTAATCGTTCTTAAGAAAATTGAATGTTTGTATGGTAAAAAAGCGTAATTTTCAATATTTCTTGGTGCAAATAGGTTCGTAATAATAATTTGATATAAACACCGAATTTAGATCCCGAATGTTTATTTTTTATATCCCGCTTTACATAATACAAAATGAATAAATGAAAAATATGGCAAAAATGTCGAATTTTTGTTATTTTATTATAAAAATAATTTCATTTAAAATGTATCAAATTTAGATCAAGCAGTACCACTTTTGGACAACATCGCTTACAAGGATTGTCATTAAATATGAAAGCCTCGTATGTACCTTAAATTTGGAGCACATTAGTTAACGTTTCGAGCAACCTCCAATATGAGGAATGCAACGTTTACTATTTTCTTTTTTTGATCGCGGCAAAATCTACTGTTGTATAAAACTTATTACCCGTAATAAATCATAACCTCCTAATTTCAATATAATTCCAGCTAAAATTATTGATTCAGAAACAAGGGCTTCTACATGAGCTTTTGGTAATCATAAACGAATTCAAAAGTTTGGCATTTTTACTAAGAATGCCAAAATTATAGAAAAATACAATATTTCGTAATCAATATGTATATTGTAGCATAATTTATACTACAATTCATAATAATTAAGTTAAATCTTAATAGAAATATTAAATCAGTGATCTACGTTACCAGCTCCTACGCTTGTTGTGTAAAAACAAAAAATCAAATTTAATTGGGCATATTATGTTCTAAATTTCTCCATTGTCAACAAATGCAGACTCGCTCCTTGAACTATTCTCTGATGTTACAAAATTCAGTCGCTTACTCTTAGATTCCAAGAAAGCAATGGCTGATATAATAACAACAAGTACTTGTTGTTGTATGCCGTATCATTTATAAATTTGGTCCGAAAATCACGTATGGCAGGAAAAAGAATTTTTATTTATTGGATACTTTAACTCATTTATATTTTTGAATGGAATATATAATTTCACTTCAATTTGCTTTTATAGTAAATAGTTTCACTCTTAATAAATTAACTAGTTTAATATTGGATCAATTGTGAGGGTAACGACTGCAACACTTCTAATGCCAGCGCACTTAATGCGTCAACTAATTTACATCTACGACATTTTTTGAGCTTATTAATTATGAAATTTTATTTCATTTAAAAATGTTTTGAAATTACAATGCATTTACTATAAAAATATCCCTGCATTTAATATATGTGTGAACATCAGCTGCACCGTCGGTTTTTCAATATTTTCTCAATTGTCAACAAATAAAGACAGTTGACCGCCCAGTTTCCACAAATTCAACAAGTTGACCGCCCAATTCCCACAAATTCCACAAGTTCGCCGCCCAGATTCCACAATATAATAAGAGACGAACAACAAAGAATAAAGAGTATTGTTAACAACAATATTATGATGTAATCAAACTAATCTTTTCAGAAGGTACGAGTAATAACAACAACTTTTAGATCACGTCTTAACTAACATACAACTGTAACTAGTAAAAAAGTAAAGCCAATATTATGTAAGTAGCTTACCAGATATACAGGCACTCATCTGTACACACACATGCAAACACAAACACGTCTATGATCGTTGTGATTTGATAGCGCGCGGACGTGTTCGAAAGTGCTCCGTTTATATCATAGGGGATTGTTATCAGAAAATTATCCTAGAGTGGAATTCTTGTATCGGAAAGATAAGTAAACGATAATTAAAAAAGTGATAGTACTTTTGAGCGTCTTATTTAGTTAAAAAGGCATTTAAAATAGAAAGTGAAAGGTCAGGTTTCGTTTTCTTTATTCTTTTTCTCCCCTTTTCTTATCTGTTGGTTTGCCCGCTTTCGTGCTTATTTGGGGGTCGTTCAGTGTCACCCAGGTAAATAAAGAAGGTGAGCAAATCACGGGAGGACATTGCCATCTATTGCTGCTATAAAGCAACCCTGTGCATCTGAGAAAAGTTTTAAAATATTACGCAATAGCACAGACTTACTCCTTGTTTTTCAAGGAATAGCTTAGTTGAGGGCGACATTAATTTAACAAGCAGTATTGGTCAACCCTACACCGACCCAGGGCCTCAGAGTGGAAAAGACTAACAATAAAGTAAGTACAAAATTTGTAGAAAATACCGCCAACGACAAAAACATACATACAGAAACATACTCTGCACACACAAGAAACGGACTTGCGTACAAGGACGTCACAAACATACACATACACAAGTAGATATACATAAATACATTAATATAATAAAAATAAAATAAATTATATAAATTATATAATTATAATTTATATAATTATATAAATTATATATATAAATATAAAAATACATTAAC